ATCAATACAATAGTGTGAGGAGCACTAAAGAAATAGTGGATATAGTCATGTGACTATATCCGTCATTCTATACTTTATTTTTTTACCCCCGGACTTTTATTAATTTTTTTTTCTATCTTTTTCTTTAAAATAATTTTCTTTTTTCAATATTCTGTAATCTTTTCCATGTTTTCTCTACATTTTGAACGTTGAGCAAAAATTACTAAATGTAAACTAATTTTTAAGAATAGCTCTTAATATATATATTTATATGTATATATACACACATATATTAAACAGCTATTTTCCAAAATTGGTTTATATTTTGTCATTTTTGCTTTACAGTTATTCTTCTTAGAAAAATAATTTGAAACACAGATAAAGTTTTAAAAAATATTGCATGATATTTTATACGAGTGAAATCATCATTGCAAGTATCTTCTTTTGTAACTGCACCATATCAGTTGAGTTCTATAAAGTTGTCTTTGTATAGTTCAAAATTTAGTACATATAATATAAAATCCTCCTTTTTTGGCAGCATCATAAAACAGTAAAAATTCCTTTTTTGATTTTTCTGCTGTTTCAGCTACTATTGTCTGTAAACCAGTTATTCACACAAAGAGCAATAAACCTAGCAGCCCTCTCAAAAATTCCTTATCATTGGATAAACAGGAGGAAAATTGCTAACAGGATAGGTTCTACCAGGGAAAGAGGAATGTTATTATGAGGAAATTACATATTTTGAATTACAGAATTTTTCCTTGAAAATTTATTTTTGCCTGTCAGTCTTTGAATAAACTATAGTTTTTTTATTTTATTTTTCTAACATTATGAATATGTAAGAAAAATCCTGACTTTATGAATACGTAAGAAAAATCGTGACTTTTTAGCTTAATTTTAGAATAGCCTGACTTTTGCAGGTTTTCCTGACCGTGTAGGAACCCTGTATAAAGTTGTCTTTGAATAGTTCAAAATTTAGTACATATAATATAAAATCCTCCTGTTTTTAAAATTGTGTTCTTTTTTTTTTATATAACCTTGGATCAACTATTTTAAGTAAAATATGATCCTTTAACTTTATAAATTTAATTTATTTTGACTTAATTTGGAAACTTTTCATCATATTTTTTCTTTTTTCTGAAATAATGTTTGTAGTAGTTTTTAATTTAAAAAAGTATTCTAGCTTTATTTTACTTATTATTAAATGTATTATTTGTTCTTAAGCATAACATTATATGATTTTAAAACTTATTTATTTTCGGGGAATAATTCAAAAGTTCAAACTGCATGGAATGGTACTCATGAAAAGCTTCTTACCTGTGAGTCATGAAATAATTGTGAATTCAGATGTAATGAAAGGTAATTTTTATTTTAACAAAGTGTTTTTAACTGACTGTTTCTTTATTTTTAACCATTTAGAAGATTGATTATTTTTATTGACTGATATTCTTATTTGTTTAATGTTTTATTATTTCTAAATAAAAAACCTAATAGAGAAGCCGTGGCTAGCATCTTATTTTCATAGTTTGTATCTGTATTAAGTAATAAATAATAATAATTTCTTAACTGTTATATTTGTTTCAGGTTAATTTAAGTGTTTTTTATGAATGAATAATTATTTTCCCCATGGTGTGTAGTTTTCTTAAGAAGTACTTATTTTCAATTTACGCTTTTTAATTTTAAAAGCCTTTGAAGAAGATTTTTTTATTGGATATTTTTAAAAAGTGCTTAATTTTTCTTTTGAGAATGAAATTTTTTTCTTTGCCTTGTTGATTTTCATCACTTGATATGCAAAAGAGTGGTTTTCACTTTCTTTTCAACGGTTTCACTATTCGTTCAAAGGCAATGCATTTTTGCGTACCGTTGGTTAGTGGTGTTTGAAAGCGCCAATCATTTTACATACTTGACGAAACTGAAATATAATTATATGAAATATAATCAATAATGAAATATAATCAAACTGAAATATAATTAAAAAGAAGAAAGAGTTCTTTGTCAGAAACTGGTTATTTTATCATGATCATTTAAAGTATTTAAAAATTATTTTGTTACTGTACATAGTGCTTAAGAAGTACTTAAAAGGTGCTTATTTTTTGTTGAAAGATTTGGCTTCACACCCTGTTTCCGAACTTTAATCTCTCTAGTGTTTCTGATGTTTAGTAAGTTATGGTTGAGGTATTTGATAGAATATGAAAAATAGGTTACCTTTGTTTTGTTTTTTATTTCTTTCTAAATTTATACCCTATAGATTTTATCAAGATACCCTATAGATTTTATCAAGATTCGCTCTATGACTTTAAATCTCTATCTATTTACCAGGTCTTTTATTTATAGTGTCTTTTTTCTTTTTAAAATTCTTTTTCCTATTAATTATTTTTTTGTCTTTTTTAATAAAAGCATTTTATAAGTTTTAAATATAGTTAGGTTTGGCATTGTTATGTTTTTACATGGTTAATTACTTTTAACTTCTTCATAAAGATGGACCCTGCTCATTAGACCTATGGATAAAACAAAGAAAATGTTCATTGTTCTCCATAGATCTATGCTAAAATTATTAAATAAAAAATTATCTGTTCCATTATTTAATTAAATATATCAATTTTATTTTTATATTCAAATAATATTTTTCTGTTAATTTTTTCTCTATTGGAAATTTCAATGGAAATATATGAAAATTTAAGTCTGATTTTATTTGGGATTGCTTATTATTAACCTTTTATTATTATTTTTTTCTACATGGGCACATCTTTTCATTGAGTCATTGTTGTATTCAGATCCATGAAGCTATGGATTAGATTCACAATTCTCTATTTCATAATTTTTTTTATTAACTTTTTTTTCCCTATTTATTCTTAGTTTCTATAGTTTCCTTCTTGACGCTAAGGCCGCTGATCAGACTTAGATCAAATTGATATTTATTTGAAAGTCTTACTTCAATGTAATATTAAAAAGCTAAATCAGTTTTTTGACATTAAAATTTGCTCAATATTTAAGCAAAAATAGCAATAATTTGGTTTTTAAGATACTTAAATTATGAATTAAAATGGTAGTTAACATTAAAACAAAATTTTAATGAAGAGTAAATATTGATACTACATGTATTTAAATCGTATAGTTAAATGTAGAGAAAAAGTATTTCTTTACTCAAACTTTTTCTGTTATTATTATTTCTCTATTTATTTTTCTTCCTATTTATTCTTTGTTTCTATTTAGTTTCATTCTTGATACTAAGGCCACTGTACAGATCAGAATTAGATCAAAATGATTATATGTATTTGAAAATTTTACTTTGATGTATTATTTAAAAGCTCAATATTTAATTAAAAAAAGTACTAATTGTATTTTAATGATACTCAAATTATGAATTAAAATAAGAGTAAACATTAAAACTAAATTTTAACGAAGAATAAATAATAACACTACATGTATTTATTCTTATAGTTAAAAAGTATTAGCACATTAGTAAATAGCAAAGAAAACATATTTTTTAAAAATTCAATAAAATAAACTAAAAAGATAAAGAGAAAAACGAAGAAAATTAAGAAAAAGCAATAAGTTTTATTTACTGTGCATAAGCTGCAAGTATATGTAACTCATAAAATAAGTTCAAAATGTAGAGAAAACATGTAAAAAATGCTAAGGCTAATGAACAAAGATGAAATAATGAAAAAAGAGAAGAAAAAAATAATTGAAAATAAAATAAAAAATTACTGAAAATCCGAAATGAAAAGATATAAGCTTTTCATTAGCTCACAAGTATATACAATAAAATATTAGAAAGCATTCCATTTTGCGGATATAATCGTCTGAGCTGATGAAAAGATTATTTCTTGTATTTTCCGGATTTTAATAAACTTTTCTCCCTTTCTTTCGGATTTCTTATTTATTTATTTTTAATTATTTATTTTCTTTTTTCATTATTCTCTCTCAATATATTTAAATTTTGTTGTAGCACTGATTTTTGAGCAACATAATTTTAGCAGTTGCGTCGATGACAAAAACTTTGAGAAACACAGATCTTTTGTTGTAACACAGTCCCAAGGTTAGTAAATTTTATATATTGTTTTTAATTATTTTTGTTACTGCTTGCAAACTATTATTATATTCTTTGTTTTAACTAATATTCTTCTAAATAAGGAAAAATATTTAAGCTGTTTACTTCATTACTTCTTTTGATAAAACATTTTTGTTTGGTTTTTATTCAAAAGCTTTAGTTTATTTACCATTTTTATAATATTCGTATCTCCCACTTTTCATCAAGGTGATTTTTAACCCAACACTCGCAACTCTTTAGTGTCCACGTTTCACAATTTTTGCAAAACTTTTTTGCATTGAACATGTTATCAAGCACGTAAAAAGGTAAATAAAATAAATAAGCGGTTCCCT